TCAAAGGCCTTCGAGACATCAAGGTAAACAGCAAGTGCTTCCCCACTGTTCTCGAGTGCCTCGCCCCATACGTGTGTGGCATACGCTAGGAGGTCCCCAGCTGACCGATTTCGGATGAACGATTCTGACTGATTTACCTAGTGCGAATAATTATATACAATTGTTTATTAGTGAATAATTATGTACCTTTTTTATTTTAATAATATAAAATTACAAATAATAAATGTGTTTTTTTTTTACTTAAGGTATGATGCGCAATTTTTCATTTTGTGTTGTGCGATTTTTTTTCTCAATCTCAAAATCATCTGCAAATCATCGTCATATCAAACCCCCATTGTCATAAGAGCGTAAGACTTTTTTTCTGTGCTTCACTTGGCTTACGCCTCCCCCGATACATAAAATATTTTGATTCGATGTCCGTATATTTTGGTTAGATTGATTTCGAAATCGATACACAACGTGCGACACGGCTACATCTCTAAAAAAGTTTCAAAAAGGAAGGTCAGCTACGCCGTCGTCGTCGTCCAGTCGTGACAGTGACGTCATCATTTATTTATTTATTTATTTATTTATTACAATTTTAGGAGAACTTACAGCTGGTTATAAATGTATGAACAATAAAAATAAGAAAATGTACTGAAGGCCAATTAAAAGTTCCCACTTATAAATAAAGTACAGAGAAAAATTGCACAAGTGACGTAGACGTAGATTTAATAACACAATAAAAGATGATTTAAAAAGTAAAATGAAATAAATAACAATGCATGGTATATGTAATACACATCAGTAAACGAAAAACTTATTACTCAGTAGGCGCTTAAGCTGCCTGCTAGAGGTGTTAAATAAGTCTACATTTTGTATTTTCGCCACGTCATTGAAACACTTGCTCACTCTTATTAAATAAGAATTTTGCCTGTAGTTTGTATTTACTCCCGGCACGTATAGTTTGCATGGCTTGCGTGAAGATGCGTATGGAACTTGTAAACGTATTTGCTCCAACAGTTCGGGACAGTCGATCGTGCTATTTGCTATATTAATTAGAAAAGATAGATCCGCTATGCGCCTTCTTTCATATAGCGGCAAAATGTGAAACTTTCGGCAACGTGTTGTGTAATTCGGTAGAAAGATCTTAACTCTAAATTGAAGATAGCGAAGAAATTTTTTCTGAATCCGTTCAATACGCGTAGAGTAAATATTATAGGTAGGATTCCATACTTGAGAGGCATACTCTAGATGACTTCGTACGAAAGCACAGTAAAGAATTTTGAAGGTTTTAATAGAATTGAAATCAGAAGACATTCTTAAAATAAAGCCTAGAGCTTTAGAGGCTTTGTTTATAATATTGTCAATATGTTTATTAAACAGTAATCTGGAGTCAAAAATTACTCCTAAATCGCGGATAGTGTTGACTCTAGTTATATCTATATGTTTTATAGTGTAGCGGAAAATTATAGGTTTAGTCTTCCGTGTGTATGTGCAAATATAGCATTTGGAGACATTTAAGTCTAATTTATTGTATAGACAGTAATTTTCAAACCTACCCAAGTCTTCTTGCAAATGATATGCGCTTTCGAGGGACGTTATTGGACTTAATATTTTCATATCATCGGCGTAAAGTAGGATTTTTGAGTACTTGAAACATATGATGATATCATTAACAAAAATATTAAAGAGTAAAGGCCCTAGCAAGGAGCCCTGTGGGACACCAGAAGGTATTGGCATGGCCTTAGAGGTGTAACCATTTAGGGCAACTGTCTGACTCCGATTTTGGACGTAAGAGGTGAACCACCGATATAAATTACCTCGTATTCCTACTGATTGAATTTTGTGTAATAATAGCAAATGGTCTATTCGATCAAAGCATTTGCTATAGTCTGTGTAGACCACATCGACTTGTGAGGGCTCTGACATATGTTCTGATAAGTAGTCAGTACATAATATAAGATTAGTAGTTGTTGACCGACCCTTGACGAAACCGTGTTGTTGAAAGCTAAGTGTATGTTTTAGGGCAGCATATAGTTGATCATAGACAATTCTTTCAAGCACTTTTGCAAATAGACATAATTTGGAAATAGGTCGGTAGTTGTCAACTTGATCTCTTGGGCCTTTTTTGTACATTGGTGTGACATAAGCCGATTTCCAGATTCTTGGCATTAAACCTTCTGACAAAGAACGCCGATATAATATAGTCAAAGGAAACGCAAGGCTCTTGGCGCACCTCACGATAAAAACAGCTGGTATGTTATCAGGCCCAGCTGATTTACTTAAGTCAAGTGATTTCAAAAGCTTAAATACTTCATCAAATGTGACCTCTATATCCCCTATATCAGATGGTATATTATAGTTCATTTGAGAGGTGACATCTGGGTTAATGTACGTATGGGTACTATTTAAAAAAGTTGACTGAAAATAATCACTAAACAAATTGCATATTTCTGCGCCACAATCTGATGATTTCTTTCCAAAACGTAATACAGCGGGATATGAATTGACTTTGTTTTTTGTTTTTATATAAGACCAAAACGCTTTAGGATTATTACAAATATTTTTTTCAACGTTAGAAATGTATGTATCAAACATTTGTTTTTCCAGAGTCTTGGCTTGTTCTCTGAGTCTAATAAATGATTGAAGGTCAGACTGATTCCCGTATTTCTTATATTTCGAGTGATACTTATGTTTTTCTTTCAAAATTTTAATTAGGGATTTCTTATACCATAATGGATATTTAAACCTTGGTGTAAAAGTCTTAGTAGGGATATACGTTTGACGGAGGTCAGCTAATTTATTATAAAACAATAACAAGGCATCTTCTAACGGCTTAGAGTTAAGTTCTTGATGCCAATCAATGGCATCAAGTTTAGAAATAATAGAATCGTAATCACCAGATAGATATAGAAATTTAGTATAGGGACGACTTTTGAGAGTGTGAAGTTGAATAAATTCTGCAACCACACACAGAGCTGGATGATGAGTATCTTCGGGTATTAGCGGGTTTCCGCAGTGGTTAACAGCTAACGTGCTGTTAGAAAATATTAAGTCCAAAATTCTATTATTTGTGTTATGTATATAATTGTATTGTGATAAATTACATATATTAATGTTAACAAATAAATCAAATTGATAAGAGCCCTGTATGTTCTCGGGTATATATGAAATGTTTTGATCACACGACTTCCAGATTATGTTAGGCATATTAAAGTCGCCAAGAATTATAAATTTTTCGCAAGGATGTTTTAATATTGTATCACAAAGTTTTTGGGAGTATGCGGTTAACTGAGTTGGTAGTGAACAAAATACGCTTTGGTTACATATATATACCGTACAAATATGCAGTTTATACACTACCTTAGGATTCCGGCATTTAAGTGTCAATGTTACCCATAAGTCCTCGGCATTCGAACACCAATCACTACGAACTTCTGCTGAGAGGTCCCGGCGAACAGCAATTAACACTCCACCCCCCAATGTTTGATTAATTCTTTTGTAATCTCGATCCCGTCGCCAAACTATGTACCTATCATCGAATAATTCGCTATCTTTAACGCTTTCATTCAACCAAGTTTCTGATAAACATATAACATCATAAGAGTTTATGTTAATATTTCTATAGAAGGCCGAAGTTTTTGTACGTAAACCACGTACATTTTGGTAATATATATTAATCGCCATTTTTGAACATTAAAACTAGTACATAATTAGTTATAATAACAAGTAATAAGTGTAGAAAGGTGGAATAAAGCAATATGTTTGAAAAGATGCGTAAAAAAACGTTAAATTTGTGGGCAACATTAAAAAAAACTAATAATACAATAAGGCTATAAGCGTAAACAAAAGATACAAAAATGCAAAAGCAAATCGACGCTGGAGCGATATAATATGATCATGATGGAGAGTAGTGCTGTGGTTTACTACTATTTTATTGTTATTGTTTCTTTTTTATTTATGTACAAAGTACATATATAAAAAGAGTGGAAGACAGCACGAGATTAAATAAAACATACCAGATTATAAGTCATTTATTTCATAAAAAAACCAAAAAAAACAAGTTATTTTGTGTTATCGATATATCAACTCTTGGCAACACTATTATTTTCGTAGGTATTTTTGTTTACTTTTCGCTTTGGCGTACAGGACACGGTAATGCGTTTTTGGCGTGGCGGTCAAAAGGTAAAAACATGGTCAGACGAATCATTCTTTCCCTCGGAAAAAGAATATGAGACATTATTCGGAGTAATTGGCTAAATACTTAACATTATTTAGTATAATTATGTAAAATATTATAATATATTTATATATCCCTGCGTTAACTGATAGAGAATGCCATAAGGTATAAACTCCGGCAATTGTGAACCGTTTATGGTGTCTTACAATAAAGATGGAATTTCTTACAGAAATTAAATGTTTCATTCGTGTGTATTTCAGAACAGTACATCACAGCGACAAATCGTTTTTCAGAACCGTCTGAGAAGAAGATTAAATCAAATTCTACTGATTGTAGCATAAACGATGTCCATAAAGAAAACCTCGATTTTAAAGGCCCTACTATTAAATCAAACTTAATAATTAATGAAAGAGGAAAGCATCCTGCAATGAAAAAAACATCCCGTGCATCAACAAAATACATTTTTGAATGTGATGGTTGTAGTAAAAAATTTTCAACAAAAAACATTCTCGCTAAACACATTACATGTAGTCATAAGACGCAAAAGAACTCAGACACCGCTGCAGTTCGGACACTAGTTGAACAAACTTCAGAACCACAACAAAGAGAAATATTTAATTGTGATATTTGCGAATTTAAAACATTTCAAAAACGTTACCTTTTGGCACATCTTAAAGCGCACGTCTCTAAACAAATGTACTGTTGTAATAATTGTGAATATAAATGTATTACAAAAAGAGATTTGCAAAGACATATGAAAATACACACCGGTGAAAAACCTTTTTCTTGTAATATCTGTGATTTTAGATTTAGTTTTAAAAGTAGTTTGAAAACCCATATGAAAATACACACCGGTGAAAAACCTTTTTCGTGTAATATCTGTGAATATAGCTGTATTAGAAAAAGTGATTTGCAAACACATATGAAAACACACACCGGTGAAAAACCTTTTTCGTGTAATATCTGTGAATATAAATATATTACAAAGAGCCGTTTGCAAAGCCATATGAAAATACACACCGGTGAAAAACCTTTTTCGTGTAATATCTGTGAATATAGCTGTATTAGAAAAAGTGATTTGCAAACACATATGAAAACACACACCGGTGAAAAACCTTTTTCGTGTAATATCTGTGAATATAAATATATTACAAAGAACCGTTTGCAAACCCATATGAAAATACACACCGATGAAAAACCTTTTTCTTGTAATATCTGTGAATATAGCTGTATTAGAAAAAGTCATTTGCAAACACATATGAAAAGACACACCGGTGAAAAACCATTTTCGTGTAATATCTGTGATTTTAGATTTAGTTTTAAAAGTAGTTTGAAAACCCATATGAAAATACACACCGGCGAAAAATCTTTTTCGTGTAATATATGTGAGTATAGCTGTATTAGAAATAGTGATTTGCAAATACATATGAAAACACACACCAGTGATAAACCTTTTTCGTGTAATATCTGTGAATATAAATATATTACAAAGAACCGTTTGCAAACCCATATGAAAATACACACCGGTGAAAAACCTTTTTCGTGTAATAGCTGTGAATATAGATGTATTAGAAAAAGTGATTTGCAAAGGCATATGAAAATACACACTGGAGATAAACTTTTTTCGTGTTAAATCTGTGAATAAGAGTCGTTTGCAAACCCACATGAAAACACACACCAATGAAAAACCTTTTTCGTGTAATATCTGTGAATATAGATATATTTCAAAGATTTGTTTGCAAAGACATGAAAGTACACAGCGGTGAAAAACCTTTTTGTGAAATATATGTGATTTTAGATTTAGTTTTAAAAGTAGTTTGCAAACTCATATGAAAAAACAAACCGGTGAAAAACCTTTTTCTGTAATATCCGTGAATATAAATGTAAATATGAAAGTACACACCGGTGAAAAACCTTTTTCGTGTAATATATGTGATTTTAGATTTATGTAGTTTTAAAAGTAGTTTTCAAATAATATGAAAAAACACAACGGTGAAAAACCTTTTTCGTGTAATATCTGTGAATATACATCTATTATAAAAAGTTCGTTTGCAAATACATAATATGACTTATGAATTTTTGCCAGCCAAACAGTAGATGACAAAGTGAACAGTTTCAACAATATCATACTTAACTTATATGATATTCATGCCCCGGTTAAACGCGTTAAAATAAAACATAATCCTGCCCCCTGGATAACTCCAGCTTTAAAGGAGCTCATGGCACGTAGGGATGAAGCTAAAAGAAGATACAAGCGATTTCCACTGGAGAGTAATTTAACAAATTATAAGATCCTACGTAATCGGTGCAATCGTTCGTGCAGAGATGCAAAAAGGAGTTATTTTTATGACTCCGTAACTAAACGTGATCCCGCAAAAGCCTGGAGATTTCTTAAAACTGTTGGCGTTGGAAAGTCACAAACACATCTAAGTGGAGACATAGACTTAAATATTCTCAACCAACATTTTTCTTACCCTCCTATTTCTATCTCTGCACGTGATAAAGCTAGGTCAATGTTAGAATTGGCTAAGCACCCAGCTCTGCAGTGTGCCACTTTTGGTTTTTCTTTAGTCACCGAAGACGATACTAACCGATCAATTATAGCTATATCATCTACGGCTGCTGGAAATGACTGCATATGCTCTAATATGATAATGCCTATCCTTTCTTTTCTTCTACCTGTTCTTACTCACATTTTTAATTTCTCTTTATCTTCTTGTTGTTTTCCGTCGTCATGGAAATTAGCTCACATTATCCCTATCCCTAAGATATCTAATCCTTCATCTCCCTCTCACTTTCGTCCTATTTCAATCTTGCCATTTCTTTCTAAAGTTCTTGAACACATTGTCCACAAGCAATTTTCAGCCTTTCTCAACAGTAACAATCTTTTATGTCCATATCAATCTGGTTTCCGACCTGGTCACAGTACAACAACTGCCCTTCTTAAAGTTACTGATGATATTCGTTGGAATATGGACCATGGATTTTTAACAGTTCTTGTTCTACTAGATTTCAGCAGTGCGTTTAATTCTGTCGATTTTGATATCCTTATAAGTATCCTTAAGTCGATTAATGTGTCTAGATCTGTTATTCTATGGTTTGACTCCTATCTTCGAGATCGTTCTCAATGTGTTCGTTCAGGTGAAATATACTCCCAATGGTATAATGTAACTGCGGGTGTACCACAAGGTGGAGTCCTATCTCCTCTGCTTTTTGCCGTTTTTATTAATTGTATCACTAAGGTCATATCATCTAATTACCACCTCTATGCTGACGATTTGCAGTTATATCGTAATTTTGTGGCATCTGAAGCTAAATTGGCGATTGAAGCTATGAATGATGACTTAAATAAGATTAGCGAATGGTCAAGATCTTTTGGTCTCATAATAAACCCAAATAAATCCCAAGCCTTGATAATAGGCAAAAGATATGCGCGTGGCTTGCTTGATTTCTCCTCTCTCCAAACTCTACGAATTGATGGTACCACTATTCCCTACTCAGATACTGCCAAGAACCTAGGCGTTATTTTTGACTGCAATCTGACTTGGGGCGCTCATATTACGGATGTAAGTAGGAAAATATTTCATGCCTTTCATTCTCTAAAGCGTCTTCAAAGTTTTCTACCCTTGTCTACTAAGATATCCATAGTCCAGACTCTTATATTACCAATTTTAGATTACGCTGATGTATGTTATCTGGATGCTACAGAGGAGCAAATTAATAAACTTGAGCGCTTGCAAAATTTATGTATTCGATACATTTTTGGCTTAAAGAAGTTCGATCACGTTTCTGTTTATCGCAAGCAGCTTAAATGGCTCCCAATCCGCCTTCGCCGGAACACTCGTATCCTCTGTCTTCTTTTCAATATTCTACATAATCCTTCTATTCCGCTATATCTAAAAAATCGTTTCACTTTTGTTCATTCTCCAGATGTACCATGTAGGTCAAATACTAGAACATTGTTAAGATTTCCGTCTTTCAATACCATGCTCTATTCTCATTCTTTTTCTGTTAACGCAGTACGATTGTGGAATTCACTTCCCTTTAGGATTCGTGATGCTAAATCGGTGTCTATGTTTAAAAGACTTGTTAAAGAGCACTATCACTCACTCCATAATTACTAAATCGTAATGTGTTGGTATGCATATAAGTAACATTAAAATATATATTGAATTATATATATTTTTTATAATATATAATATTATAAAAAATATATATAATTCAATATATATTTTATAATATATTTTTTATAATATATAATATTTATTTATATATGTATATACGTATATATATATAAGTTTGTATATATTTGTATAGTATATGTATATTTATGCAAGTGCACACTGACTACCTCTATTTCCTTCAACTATCCTTCAATAGGCCTGCTGGAAGAAATTTCATCATGGAATAAGCAGTGCCTTTGTACATAATTATGTTTTTACCATTTTCTTATCAAATTATGTGTGTACATAAACTGTTAAATAAATAAATAAATAAAATAAATATGAAAAAACACACCGGCGAAATACCTTTTACGTGTAATATCTGTGAATATATGTATTAATATAGAATTAATGTATTAGTAAAGGTGATTTACAAATACGTATGAAAACACACACCGGTGAAAAACCTTTTTGTGTAATATCTATCTAATATAAATATATTACATGTTAACATTGGTATGGCGTACAAGCTGGCAATGGAAGTTCGGGAACGGGCGAGTGTGCAGGCCGATGAAAAGCAAACGCGCTATGACATTTTGCGACTATTCATTTTGAAAATAAATGCGAAAATGCTTTACATTTTATTAGATGATTAATAAATTAAAAGATCAGAAAATTCCCATTTTATGAGCTACGAATTCATTGTTAAGGATGTGACAGATAGATTTCCTTTCATTTTGTAAAATTGTATTATTTAAGTTAGAATTCGTACTAGATACATCAACAAAGTGATTAGTAATGTTTTTTATTTTTACAATGAACACGAGGATTATCATCCGTGTCCTTCAAAAACTTGTGCTCGAGAAATATCACACTCCTAGCATAAAAAAATCGCCTTGGATTTTGTGGATCTGTCAACATATAGCCTTTAGTTGAATCACTGTAGCCAACAAAAATATATCTTTTAGATATAGGGTCTAATTTAGAACGTTTCTGCTCAGGGATTAATGAGTATGCAATGCAGCCAAAAACTAAGATGACTAAGGTCTATATCTGTACCAGTCCACACTTGTTCAGGCATCAGTCCAGCAAGGGCAACTGTAGGGCTTCTATTATTTAAATAAAGGGCCGTCATGACCGCTTCTCCCCAATATTCTTGGCTAAGACCAGATTCCTGCAGCATGCATCTAGCTTTCTCTAACAAAGTCCTATTTACCCTCTCATATACTCCGTTCTGCTGAGTGCAATATGGAACGGTTATTTGATGAATAATTCCTTGAGACTTAAGAAAAGATTTGAAACGATCATTACAATATTCACCGCCTCCATCAGTTTGTAGACATTTTATGTTGGCTCTGGTCTGTTTCTCAACAAGGTTTTTAAAATCAATAAAACGGGACATTACCTGATTTTTCTCTTGTAGAAGATACATCCAATTCTTCCTACTGTAGTCATCTGTCAAGGTCAGCATATACTTCGCACCGCCCCAACTTTTAATCGGCATCGGTCCACAGATGTCGGAGTGAATGAGCTCTAATCGACTAGTGGCACGCTTGGCTTCACCAGAGGGATAAGCTTTTGAGACTTGCTTGCCCTTCAAACAAGCCCAGAGAGCTCGTGTTCTTCATCCTGAAATATAAGAGCTTTCTTTTGTCACAACGTGCATATGGGCGCAAATCGCCATCTATCGGCAATAGTTAGCAAATATTGATATATGGGCTCAAACCGCCATCTACCGGCAATAATTAGGAAATATTGATATATGGGCGCAAACCGCCATCTATCGGCAATAATTGGCAAATATTGATATTTATGTTTTAGTTTATCGTTTAAGTGAATATATTAGTATAGAAATATCTGAAATATATAAGATTTAAATTTAAATAGTTATTTATAAACATAACATTGTTACTTATTAAGGTCTGATATTTAGTAGACACTGTTTTGACTGTTTGAACATTTTGAAGACGTTTGATGCTTCATTTATTGTTAAAATACTCATTTTACTGTGTAAATGTTCAAATTATTATCTATTCGAATTAATATCATTATTTTGTATCAAATTTTATTATTTTATGTAATAAGTCTTGTTTAATTTCACTTGAATCTTGCTTGCAGCGCCTCCTCTTAACAGTATTAGAGCCCGGATTTTGACTGACTATGAAAAACTAATGTCTGTTCAAATTAAATGAACAAAGATTTATATAATATAAATCATTTGTAGTTATTTAAATTTCTAGTTTTCTTTCTTTTTCTATTTAAAGCTCTATTTTAAGAATTATTTTGTAGTACTTAATTTTATTTGTTTGATTTAAAAGAAGTTGTATTTGCTACGAGTATATCCATGTTTGTAAGGAAACTATTCGAAACTATAAAGGCTGTTGATTTATGTAAAGACTGTTCTGTTCTGTACCAGCAATTGTGCGAAAATAAACTACTTAATATTTGGCGTGCTATTTCATTGTTATGG